TATATATATATATATATTGGAATTCTATGCTTCCATCAGAAAGAATGACATTGCCCCATTTGTTAGGAAATGGAAAGACTTGGAAAAAATTATATTAAGCGAAGTAAGCTAGACTCAAAGAAACATAGGTCCATGGTTTCCCTTATCTGCAATAACTAGTATATGTCTAAGACAAGCAGAAGAGGTTAAAAGCTATCTGACCATATAACCTGATGCTAACAAAAATGAACCTCAAGATAGGGACACAAGCAATTTTATCTTTCTTGCTTTTCTTGTTAATGTACTTAACATGTACTATGTGATTTCTTTTGTTTCCTTGTATGTTCTTCCCCCATGGCATAACCTTTGTTGTCACTGTATTTGTTTCCCGTATCTTATCTTATATATACATTTTTCTAATTTGGGGAAGGGAAAGGAAATAAAATGCTGAAATAACGATACAGGTTGACCCACTGTAACAATGAGATGTACAAGATATTATGTTGAAAACAAACTTTACAATTTTGCAGGTGGGTGGTGGGTGGATAGGGGAGGTAGGGAGGAAAGGGATGATAGGGGAAAAACAAAGGAGGGGGTAACAATGCTCAATAGGAAATGGACTCATTACCTTGCTCATGTAACTGTAACCTATCTGTATAGTATCTTTACAATAAAAATATATATTAAAAATTAAAAATAATTCCAAGGGAAGCTGTGACCAAACAAAAATAATAAATGATCACAGTAGCTAACGTGTATGTTGTTTCCTTTTGACTTTTAAATTTGCTATGTACTTTATACTGAATGTAAGGTTAAAAAGTAATAACCTAGGCTTCTGAAATTGCAAGGACTATCTGGATAGGGGGAATACTGTTCACATTTAGAAATTATCTCATTAGTCACTGTATAGTGGTGCTTATGCCAATAAAGAGCAAACACTAAAATGAAAGGGTCTGGGAATGATAAATTACTTTTAAGTAGGGCAAGGAAAAATGAGACTGATGGAGAAGGTGGCTCAGGGCCAGAGGGAATAAAAAGGAAAGCCGTAGGCAGCAGAGAGCTCAGGAAGCAGGGGGAGGATGGAGCAGGGAGGGTATAACGAAGCCCATACTCCTGAATTTATCAGCAATTTCACAGACACGTTAATGAACAGAAGGAAATTAATCAAGAACGTTACCTAACATGGCCCACAAGAGGGGGTTATATTTTAGAAATGGCTTGGCCTTGTTCATGGCGGAGTCGGGGGTGGGGGGGCGGGGACCTAGCAACCTAAGTGTCTTTAGGCTTGTGGGTTCAGGGACGCAGAGAATGTGACAAGGTTCCCAGGTCTATATTTCATAGAGGTCAAAGGAGAAAGGTCAGCAAACCTGCTTCATTGATGCTTGTGAAAACTTTACCCACTTTTCGGATTATTTGCAACTGATACCTAAAATATAAATGGACATCATGGATGTTCCACTGTCCTTAGAGATTTCGGACGATGCCCTACAACCCAATACAACTGGCCTCTGTGTATGTCTCTTGCATGCAACATTATTCTTCAATGCTTAGATCCAACTGGCTTCGTCTTCCTCAAACATTATAAGCTTGTTCCCAGGACTGGTACGCATCAAGACACTGACAGCAATCTTCTCCTATAGTCTGGCAAGTCTATATCCTTATAGTGACAGAAGCATGGTCCCTGGACATGTTAGATACGTCAATATATCATTCATGGCACTTTGAACTTATAACCTAAAGAAAGCTAATCAAACAACAGTTTATTTTCAGACTAAGGAGGAGATGACTTTTTCTGGAGTCTAGTTGGTAAATAAACTTTTACGTCCAGAATGAGATGTTTTCTCAGCAACAGAAGGAAAAAGGAATTCAAGTTGTGAGGAAGCACTTTTTAAGAGGGGCAGTAAGTACCCTGGAAATGGTCACTGGGGTTGTGGTTCTAAAGAACAGAAAAAAAAAATATGGAACCAACCCAGATGCCCCTCAGTAGATGATCAAGAAAATGTGGTATATATACACAATGGAATTCTATGCCTCCATCAGAAAGAATGACATTTCATCATTTGTTAGGAAATGGAAAGGCTTGGAAAAAATTATATTAAGTGAAATAAGCCAGGCCCAAAGAAACATAGGTCCTATGGTTTCCCTTATTTGCGATATCTAGTATATGTCTGAGTCAAGCAGAAAAGGTCAGATAAGGTGATGTTAGGGAAAGGAACTGTAAGATATGTATTCAAATGTTTTGTCTTCTTTCATGCGATTGTTTCTAACACATTTATAAGATGATTTCTTTGTTGCTTTGTATGTCCCTCCCCCACAGTATAACCCCTGCTTTCACTGTATTTGATGTCGGTATAATTTGTGGAGGGGAAGGGGAAAAACAAATCGTTTAAATAGGAATACAGGTGGACCCATTGCAACAATGAGATAGATGTACAAGTCGTTAAGTCGAAAACTAACTTTACAACTTTGGTGGGGGGAGTGGGGAGGGCGGGAGGATTGGGTGGGAGGTGGGGGGGAGGATGGGAAGGGTAAACAAAGGAAGAGGCTACAATGCTTGATAAGAAATGTACTCATTATCTTGCCCATGTAATTGTAACCCCTCTGTACAGTATTTTCACAATAAAAAAAAGAATAGAAAAAATTACCTGAGATCAATTTAAGACAATTTGTGTTTATAGAGTATCAGGAAAAATAAAAGAAAAAATTAATAACTTATATAAGAAACTAGCAGGAAGAAGGAGGAAGGTAATTGCCTTCCTGTGCAAAGGAAATCTAATATGTAACAAGAAGAATGTGCGGCAGGGCATTCCTGACAGCCGCTCTGAATTTGTACGGAGGAGTTTGTACTTTTAAAAATGTTTCCTTAAGGGAAGATACATTAATCTCTTTTCTTAGGCTAGAATAGCACATAATTGAAATGTGTGCTATTTACTTCTTCAGGAATCATTAATAAACATTTCAGCCATGATCTGCTGTATATGAAAATACATTATATTTCTATTCTTTATTTTAGAAGAATCAAGGGTGAGAATGGTATGCTACATACCCCCTTGTTTTTGCTACTTATCTTTACACATTGTAATGCAATTATACACACATAAGTAGAAGATGGCTTACCCAAAAACACTTTGATAAACACAATGTGAGGCAAAGAGATCAGACAAAAAGATCTTGTGTGATCAATAAGATGGGATATCTTTCTATATAACTGTATCATCTCAGAAAAAAAGACAACCCTGAATTCTGTAGTAATCATCAAGTAAGATGAAAGGATTTAAGAGAGATTTGATGTTCTTTCTAGGCTTGGAACAATGATTCTGAAATTTGAGTGTGTAAAGGCATCACAGGAAAGGTTGTTACAACCACTGAGCCAATCCAAGTATCTTGTTGTAGTTGTTTTCAAAAAATTTGCAGACATTAACTGATGCTGCTAGTCTGAGGAGGTCATCTTTTAAGAACTTCAGATCAAGGGATTGCTCTCCAATTCTGGCTGTACATTAAAATGTTATAGAGAGCTAAATCTAGTATCCATGTTTTACTCCAGTTCCCAAATATAAGTGATTTTTTTATGCAGGAGTCTCTACTAGCAGTAGATACTAAATCATACAATGTTGTTGTTGTTGTTGTTCAACAACTGGAGATACTGGTGGCAGTACCAGGACTGAGAACATGGAGTGGCTAATATTTTGGGTAGAAAAAGGAAGTCCAGAGTCAATCATGAAAGGTCTTCACTACCAAGCTGAGGAACACAGGAGTCCTCATCACAGCCCTCTCAGTAGAAAAGTGATGTAATGTGGAAGCAAGATCCTCTAAGACTAGGAGATTACCTAGGATGGAATGGAAATCAAATCTAAGAGTGTATGCTCAGAATAGTGTGTTCCATTAAAATGTTTTATTTTTGTATCTTTAATTAAAAGATAACTTGGAATATATTTTATCAGCTATAAACAAAATCTCCTCTTTTAACAACAGTTGCTAACTAAAAGAATTTTTTACTAGGTAGAATTTGAGTTTCCTAAACCAATGTTTCTTAGACCGGAAATGTACTCTGCAGGAATTTAAGATTCACTTTTTTTCTAGTCTGTTAAGAGTCATTACATGGTATTCAATTGAGAAATGATGGTCTGCTAATGCAACAAAATTGAACCATTATAAGATAGCCCAGTCAGAATCATCAGGATCACCTCAACTACATTTCCAGAGGAAGAGAAAACGAGTGTACGAAGATCTTAGGGATGTGAAATAGAGAATCAAGAGAGGATAAAATGAAGGATAAAACATAGAATCTAAGGAGAAACAGCAGAATGTGAGACAGTGATTAGAAGGCAATGCATTCCCACTGGAAGAAAGCCCTACACTGGTCAAAGGATCAGAGCCAACACCACCCTCTGCTGGGCATATTGGGAACTATTTTATCTTCATAGCTTAGCCAAATTACAAAAACTGGAAAATATAGTATTTTTTGACTAATGAAGACTTAAAGTGGAACAGAAATAGTTTTAAGAATAAAAGAATAGGTCAGGTATCAGTGGCTCATGCCTGTAATCCTAGCTACTCACGCACCTGATCTGAGTAAAGTAATTACAAGCTAACCAGGCCAGCAAAGTCCCTGAGAGTCTTATGTCTAGTTAACCACCAAAATCCAGAAAGTGGAGCTGAGGCTTAAGAGGTAGAGCACTAGTCTTAAGCAAAAAAGGTCAGGGACAGAGCTCAGGCTCTGAGTTCAAGCCCCAGGATTGCCACACACAAAAAAGTTAGAACATTTAACTTCATCTCTTTATATTCTTCAGAAAATAAAACATTAGCATGAAAATTTCAATAGTTTTTCTTAATTGTTTTTATTTGGAACATACATTATCATCAGCATATCTGAACCATTAGGCATTATATAAAAGGACTTTAAGTCCCAAAAGAAATATCATTAATAATATAACATAAAGAAAATGTCACAAATTTTTATTTGTGTGTTCAAAATAGTCAATTTCAAAACTATAACAAAACAAAATAGGACTGTTACCTACCGGAGCTTCTGGTTATATTGTTTAACCTTTTCCAAGGATGCTGCATTTATCTGGGCTTGAAATTCTTCCACAGAAACATTGTCTCTGTAGTAATATCCTTCCATACTTTCCAGGGCTGTGCAAACAAGACAATGTAAATTTACATGCAAGTCTGTAAATTAACTTCTGCACAGGAAGTCTAATTTCATTGACTCTTGGTAGCTGTATCAAATAGCTTCAATGATAAGCATACAAGAAAGAAAGAAGTTTTCCAAAAATGAAAAAAAAACTATTCTTGTACTCTCAAAATAAATAACAAATATTTAGTGATTTTTCTGATAAATAGGCAAAGAAAATTTCTAGTTTAGACTGTCCTCTATTTTTAATACATTTTGCATACATTTTAGAAGTCTAGGCCACCCCCAAAATACATTTCTCTGGCTCAACGACTATTCTGAGCTGATTATTTTGAGAAATTGCAAGCTCAAGAGCAGCTCTGAAAATATAAAAGTATTTTGTAAGGGAAATTTGCATCAATAAAGGAAATTTGCATTTGTCAGATTGACTCTCCTCACCTTCTCAGTGGAGAAGGCCCTGACTTTCATCTGCAGGGCAAACCGTGTTTTTACATTGTGCTCTTTCTGCTACCTCCCAGCAACCAGAACTATCTTCTTTGTTTCAACAGATAATGGTACAATAGTCCCCCTCATCCATAGGAGATAGATCCCTTCTAAGACCTCCAGTGGATGCTTGAAAACCAGTATTAGTAATGCCTTGTAGGGATTTTCCCCCTATAAGTAAAGTTAGCAGAACTTGTTTTTCTTTCTTTATGATTTTAAAAGTGGAAGTCTTAGTTTCCCCATATATCTCAATTAGTTGAGAACTTTCATTTGTGTGTGTGTGTGTGTGTGTGTGTGTTGCTCCTGGAACTTGAACTCAGGGCTTACATGCTATCTCTGAGCTTTTGTGCTCAAGGGTAGGCTCTTTATCACTTGAGTCACACTCTACTTCTGACTTGTTGGTGGTTAATTGAAGATAAGCGTTTATCACCTGTGCTGGCTTTGAACCTCAATTCTCAAATCTCAGCCTCCCAAGTAGCTAGGATTATAGGCATGGGCCACCAGTGCCTGACTGAGAACTTTCACCTCTTTACTTAAAGTATTTTATGGCTTCTTTAGGATATCCCAATTATCAGCTTCACTCTTCTTGCATTGTAGGATCTTATTAAGTAAAATAAGGGTTTCACAAGCACAAAGCTATCAGAAAAGTCAATGATCTGATCATCTGGGTCACCTAACTGAATAGCAGGCATATATTGTATCTTGCATCATGGATTCACTGGACAAAGGGAAGATAATTATTTCTTTAATAAACATTTATAGAATAATTGCCTAAATACCATGATTATTCAAATTAGCTAAAAAAGTCATGATTGTTAAGATTAAAGTTACCTATAAATATTGATAAAGATAGAAATTAATTTATTACATGAAGCACAAAGAAAAAAGTTTACCTTGTGCAAAGAGAACGGGATGAATTTTAAATCCTCCGCCATTTTTCAACCTTTGGGGTAGTTGTTCAAAATGATAACTATCTAGGTAGAAGTAAACTTTCAGAGCTTGCCGGTTTCCTTCTGCTTGGTATGTCAGAGAAACATCTGAAATGATATTGAATGTTAGGTTATTCCTAATAATAATCACGAAAGCTTTGCCTGAGTTATATTAGTTATACATAAGTGATTCATTGTAGGGAGTGCTGATATAAATAACATTGAATTTTAAATTTTATATTCCATGTTCACTGCTGCATCATGATATATAGGGAAGTAATTGCCTTGGGGATATATTAACTTTGTTTCTGTACTTGCTCATTAGTTCTAAGAGATTTCTGTTGTGGTTTTTAGATTTTCCACAGAGATGATCATCATGCTTCATTTTTGTTCACCTTGCCTATGAACAAAGATAGTTTCATTTCTTCCTTGTTAATCTTGGTACTTCCTATTCCCTTTTCTTGTCTTATTGCATTAGCAAGGACTTCTAGCACAGTACTGAAAAGGAATGGAGGCATAGTCTTCATTTGTTCCTGATAATGAGAAATCTTATAGTTTCTCAGCATTAAATATGATAATAGAGGTTTTACAGGTGTTCTTTATTATGCTGAATAAGTTTCTGTGTTTCTAGTTTACTGAAAGTTCTTATTATGAGTAAAGGCTATATTTTATCAATTCTTTATGGCATCTCCTGATGTGATTATGTGATTTCTACTTTTAGTCAGGCATGTAATGGATTTTATTACTTGATTTTCAGTACTGAATCAGAAGTGCATATCTAAGGTAAATCCCACTTGATTATAGAATGTAATTCATTGTATACATGGTTAGATTTGGGGAATTGTTACCAATACAAGATGTTCTTTGATGGAAATGATATCTGTGCTTTCCTATAGTATTCTTCGTTTTGACTCCATTATGGAATGGGTGCCTGGCAATTTTTAGCAAATTTTAGTCCCTTAGTTTCTAGTATATGTTTATTTAAGTTTGTAAAAGTCATATAATATGCGAGTCCCCAGATGCACCATCATTTTCCTATCACTACTATCATCCATTTAACAGACAGATTGGTTACACAGAAGCAAAAGAATTTAACAGAAATTAAAATACAAATGACAGAGAGGAAAGGGAAACTACAAAATAGAAGTATTTGGTCTTCATAAATTTGTATTTTATTCAGTGTTCATGCATTTTTTTTCATTTTAGGAACCAGAAGTTAAGATCTATACAATACATAAAACACTATCAATTTGTAATCCTTTGATAACTTATTTCTCTTTCATAACTTTTCTTAAAACTATAGTAAAAAAATAAAATAAGTGTTATTATATGGCAAAAAGATGTTTTAAGTTTTAATGGAACATCTCCTTTATTGATATTGGAGAACTAAACATTAAATAACAAGAAGTGTGTCATCTGCAATCACAAATGTCATTTGACCTTGAATTCTACTTTTGTATCAGTCTTGTTTCAAGAAAGAGGTTTGAAGTAGCAAATGTGAATTAAGAATGTGTATTAAATGCTTACTATATTTTGGTCTTAATTGTTTAAGTATTTAGTGTGAATATTTGAGTTTTATAGGAAGACTGTACATTTTTTTACTAAAGTGAAAACATTTGTCACGATTAAGTGTCATAAAAAGGAGACGATTTATGATAGCACTGTGAAAAACTCCTACAGTATTTTAATTCTCAAGTTGGTTGACTTTTATTAAAGATCAGCAAGTTTAGGACCTTTAAAAATAGCTACAAATATTTGGAAAGATAATTTTTAATGACTGTAAGGCAAGGACAGAAGTTGATTCATTTTTGATTGGGTGTTTGGGAAACAACTGTACAAAAACCCATGCCAATTTTGTTAACAGTTGCTATGTGCTAATTTTGTTAATTGTTGCTATGTGCTCTGTGTCTTGAATGTACTTAGCAAGTATGCCCCAAGGACTCATTTCGACTAAAATTATGAATGAGACAGCCTTCCTAGGGGATTCTGATTCCAAACCATGTATAGCCAACTTCTTATTCAGTCAAGTGAGACATCTGTTATGTCAAAACATAGCAACTTTTCTTATTACAGGATTCCATATGCAGTACTGTACTAAGTCTGTTGCTTTAGTTAATGCGAATCTGATTTAGTAGTCTCACTGAGTAACAGGTCATGTCCAGTCTAAGCTGATATACATGAGCACTTTGAATATATTAGTATCTGGTAATTTACAGGATTTTTCATAAAGACTAAAAATATTACTCAAAATGTACTCTCCAAGCAAAACCACAAAATTCTATGAAAGAGATAACCCAAATTAAATAAATAAAGAGAAATGTTTACAGTTAGGAAGTCTCAATATCATCAGGATGTCATTTATTCTCATCCTGATGTATGTATGGTTTTAATGCAATCCCAGTCAAAATTCTGAATTGTTTCACAGATAAGAGAAAATGGTGCTAAAGTTTCTATGAAGAGGCTAAAGAGTCAGAAGAGTAAACACAATATTGGAAAGATAAGAACATACTTGGAGGACAGACATTATCTGATGTGAAGGATTATTAGAAAGCTAAAGCAAGGCTGTAGTGTTGACCAAAGGAAGGCCAAGTACACCATTGCATTCTAGAAATAGCTCAGAAGTAGACCCGCGTAAATACAATCCACCTGACTTTGACAAGGGAGCAAAGGCAGCATGACAGAGTAAAGATCATCATTTCAACACATGGTTCTGACACAAGTGGGTGCCTACAGAAAATAAAACTGAATCTAAGCACTGGACTTACATCCCTCAAAAATTACATCAAAATGAATCCAAGACCCAAATGTGAACTGTGAAACTATATGCATCCTAGAAGATAATGTAAGAAAAAACCCTAGATGACTTCAGATGACATTTTAGAAATAACACCTCAGTCACAATCAAGAAAATGAGAATTTATAAGCTGGGCTTCATTAAAATTTAAAACTTCTGCTCTATGAAAAATACTGTAAAAAAAATGAGAAGACAAGCAATGGATAAGGGGAACATTTTCACAAAAGGCACTTCTGGTAAAGAGAAAAGTCATTCCAAATAGATGAAGCACTCTCAAAACCCAACAGGTTAAACTTTTTAAAAAATCTTTTAAAATATGCATAATATTGTGGAATTGAGAATCAGTAGGTTTTACTTGTAGAACTTTAACTTCAATGAAAAAAATCAAACTTCCCTATTAGTACTATATAATGAAGAAGAATAGGGTGAGCCATTGTATCTAGCTCAGAAAATCAGTCTCTTTAATACAACACAATGTTACCAGTGATGCTACAAATAAAGGTTTCTGAAAATGCAAAGTGATAAAGTATGGGGCATGATTCAAGTACTTAGCTGAATATCACATTAAACCACATAAAACATTAATTAATAATTAATTAAGTATCATTTTCTGCCTGAACTTGGACCAGATCACAATCATCCCACTTTTTACACTTTCTACCTTAGCTGATGACAGACATATACCACTGCATCCAAGTTGGTTGAGGTGGAGTGTCACAAACACTTTTGTATCAGCTGGCCTTGAGCTGCTATCCTACTGATCTCGGCCTCCATAGTAGCTAGGATTACAGGACTGAGCCACTGCCTCAGAGTCAAATACATTATCTTATTTAAGTCTCTTAAGTTAGACAAAACTCATATTTGCAGGTAAGAATGGGCCCAGGATTTGAACTCAGGTTTCTTGAGGCCAAAGTCATTGGTCTCTTTTCACCTCATGCTTCCTCCCTTCTCCTTTCACAGACATGTACCAACAAATCTCCATTTCAGTGCTGTGGATTTTTATAAGTCAATCTAACTCCTCTTCTTCTATATATGTAGAAAGATGAACCTATCTGCAATGAAGAATAATAAAGTTCTAGTTTTCTTATGTCGATGAAATGAGACATTATGATCCTTTGAGTACTGAATAATTCTCTTCTTTACTGAATTAACTTCAAATGTGAACTGAATTGCTTTTTTTCTTGTAGGTTCTGGCATTTGAATTTAGGGGCCTTGTTCTCTCAATCAACTTTCTTGCTCATGAATGGTGCTCTACCACTTAAGCCATACCTCCAGTCTGCTGTTAATTTGCTGGTGAACTGGGAATAAAGTCTCACGGACTTTTCTTCCTGAGCTAGCTTTGAACCAGGTTTTCCAGTCTCAGCCTCCTGAGTAGCTAGGATTATTGGCATGAGCCTTGGGCACCTGGATTACTATTATATTCACTTAGGAAAACACAGGAGACAGATAGTGGTTTATTAAAAAGTTGTTAAAGACCTTTTGGACTGACAGACAGCTTTACTTTAAACCTATTTAGGACATTGTTGAAAGAGTAGATAAATAATGATAACTTGCAGAAACTAAAAGACATGGTGAACCAATGGCACGGGCTCACACCTGTAATCCTAGCTACATGGGAGGCTGAGATCTGAGGGCTGAGGTTTGAAGCCAGGAGAGAAAAGTCCTTGTGACTCTTATCTCCAGTTAATCACCAAAAAGCCAGAAGTAGAGGTATAGCTCAAGAGGCAGAGCACTAGCCTTGAATGAAAAAGCAAAGCAAGAACATGAAGTCTAATGAGCTCAAGCTCCAGGACTGGCACAAAAGAAATGAAATTAAATTAAAATACATACACAGGTATTTCTAGTTACCTTTCTGAGGCATACAACTCCTAGGCTACAGCCTTTGCTTGATTTAATGATGAAAACATTTTAAAATTCATAGAACACACACAAAAAACAGATAAAGAAAGTAACATCAAAGTTATATCATAAGTTACTACTTTATGGGAAAGAAATTCTATAAACATATAACTACTTACTTGCAACCAACGGTTCCTCTTCTGATGGTCTGAAGTAAAAGGAAACCTTCTCTAAATCAAACAGCGCAACCAGAGTATCTTCTAGCATGGCTTGTTCATCCGTCTACAAAGAACAAAGAAACATAGTATATAACATATGACACTATACTGTGATGCAAGAGTTTGATGCTGAAAAGGAAATTAACAAGTACCAGAAAATTCCAAGTCCATTGTTAGTTTTCCTTTACTTACTGGTGTATTTATTTATTTAGATACTTTAATTCAAGGCCTCCCACTTGTCAGGTATGATAGCTCTCTTGCTTTAGTTATTGTTCAGATAAGATCTTGTGCTTTTTCTACAGGAAGATGATCCTGAGTAGCTATAATTACAAATATGTTCAACCACACCAGGCCCTTATATGCTGTTGTAGTTTTCCTTTAATAACTTGCTTAATTGGTTATACACACACCTGTGCAGCCTATTTGGCAGCTAGATTATATTCATATTGATTTAATTTACAAATAATGCGTGAAGAGCACACTGTTTGCCATGAGCAACTTCATATTTTTTTAAAAACAGCTAAAAAACAAAAGCACTGTTTTATTTAAAAGCCACATTACATAACAGCTATTCTTTTTTACAGTAAGATAATTTATGTTTCCATTTGCTGTTGCTATAACTGTAATAAAAGCAATTTTCATGTGTGTATATATAACTTTTTCATATTATATATGTATACACATATATATAACACACATATACATATATGTGTATATATATGTTAAACTGTTGAATCCAACGTTTTTAATCGTTTGCCTATTCTTACAACATACACTTTTCTAGAAATGCAGGATATGGCTCAGTGGTATGTCTCATTTTTCTGGTACTGGATTCTTCCCTCTATTAGCAGTTCATAAATTCTCCACAAGAGTACTGGATTCATTTCATCATGAAAGTATAATTAGGTTTACCATAGACTCATTTACTTGTAAAAGTAACATTTGTTTCCTTGATAATGTGACTGATCTTTTCAAACAATCACTTCAACAAAATATCTTAACAAGGTACTATAAGCTTGCACCATGTTTTAGGGGCAGCATTATTTGTAGTGAAGTAACTGGTAAGGAATTTTCATTGTATTCAAAACAACCAGAAAGGAACTCACCCCAAAGAAAGACACATGGCAGGGGAAAAAGGGGTGAAGAAAATGGTCATTTTTGCACTGTGGTGCAATACTTAAAGCATGTGTATGTGTATGTATATGTATATATATATATATAAACACATATATACATATATCACATATATACATATACATGTATACATACATACACATACATTTGTGTATAGTTATAATGGGTGCTGGATAAATATCTATTAGACTTTTTTTTTGGGTGCTGGTACCAGGTTTAAACTAGCATTTTGCTAGTTGATTTGAAATAAAGACTTTTCCTGGGCTAATTTCAGAACTTTATTCTCCAAGTCTCAGCCTCTTTATGAGCTAAAATTATAGGTGTGATTCACTAGCATGTGACTCTACTGTTATTTTGAAAAATCATTTAGATGCAGCAGAAACAACATTTTGTTTATTCAGACATCAGTTAATAGAAATTTGTTGTCAATATTTTTTGAGTTATTCTGAATATTTGTGTTTTTGCTTTCATTGTACTGAAGTTTGAACTCAGAGCTTCATGCTATGCTTGCTAGTTGGATGCTCTACTACTTGAGCCATACCACCTTTTTTGCTTTGGTTATTTTTCAGATGAAGTCTTCTCTCTGTTTTTGCCTGGCCTACTATCTATGGCTTCTTGCTTAGCTGGGCCACATGTGTTTACATCACCATTGCCTGACTTACTGTTGAGATTCAGTCTCAGCAAACGTATTTCCTGAGCTGGCTTATTCCATGATCCTCACAATCGTTTTCTCCAGAGTAGCTAAGATTATATGTGTGAGCCACTGTGGTCTCATGAATAATTTTCTGGAAATATCTGTGCACACATTTTTGTGTAAATGGAATTTTTTATTTCATTTAGGTATTAAGTAGGTGTGGAAATTCTGGGTAATATGGGAACTCGGAAGTTTTAAGTAAGTGCCAAAATGATTTCCAAAATACTTGCACTATTTTACATTGCATGTCCAAAGAGGAATGTAATTTTTCCTCTCCTTATCAACACTTGTAATTATTTGTCTTCTGGATCATAGTTAACCATTCTTCATATGCTTTGGTTTTGTGTTTTGTAGTTTAAATGACACTGGTGGTCATTCATCTTTCCAAGTGATCATTCCTACTTTTATTTCTTATCTAGTGAGTTTATTATTCAACTTATTTCCTCACTTTTAAGTTGAGTCATTTATCCATTTACTATTTAATTTTGAGGGTTCTTTATAAAATAGGGTTAAATGTCATTTATTAGCTATGTGATTTATTAGTTACTATATGATTTATACATGTTTTCCCATTATTAAAAAATTGGGGTAAGATTCAGTTTAAAGCAAAAGACACAGTGATTTAATAAATGTTTTAAAATTAGGATATAAAATACAAATAAAATCTCATTTATTCACTTATTCAACAAATACTTTGTCCCAACCAGATGTTAGGGTGTGGGCTTTCTATCATACATAATTTACATTTGATAATTCATTTTTATTGTTTTTAAACACCTTTTCTAAAGTGATTTATTTCAAATTAATCAGGTAAGAAGTAAAGCACACACATGGATTCAACTGAGTTTTTAAAAAGAACCTATTTCTCTTCCTCTAAAGTACACTGAGATGGACTCTCTTACCTTAACACTCCAGAAACTGCTACAGTTGGACAATGCAACAATCCCCTCCCTCCCACCAACATCACTGAAGAAAAGTACTAGTGTGATGTCTGAACTCATATATTTGCTTTAAAACACAACTATATTACTTGGCAGGTCAATTTTCTACCTGTATAATGATAAAACCTACTTGTATCTTAATAATCTCAGTTCTATTCAATAAGCACCCGAAATTTAATACAAGAGTGAACAGGTGTGCCTTTCAACCTCATAACAATTATGAGAACCATAGAAAGTATATAGAAATAAGCTCTAACTTCCCTATAGTTTCATTAAGATGTTCCCATGTGCTTTCTTCCTATCCACTGACTATAGCATATTTTTCTTCTATTAGCTTCATGTTCTTAGATTCAGTGGGATAAACAGGCTCACAAAGAAAACAACTATAATGATTGAGCACATGGAAATTTTAAATAGCTGGTCAGACAGTCCCGCATTCAAATCCATCTGAGTTGCTCTATCAAGCACACGCCAGACTATTAGCCACAACGAGAGCCTGGGTTTCTCTGAGGCTGTTCCTCCAGGACAGAAAATGAAAAAAACATCTTTATAAGCCCTCCTTGCTTCTGATGACCTTTTTCTGTCTGTCCTCAAGGATCTAAGAATTAGTAACAAATGGAAGCTTTCTCAGCTCTTAACAACCACAGACAACAGATTAAAAAATTAAGAACACATACGTTGTACATATTTATTAAAACCTGAAGGAAAGATAAGTCACTGAACGACTCTGGACACAATAATGAAGGCAATAAAGAGAGGGTGGCGTAACCAACCACTCCACAGGGGAGTAGCAGGTGAGGATGTGGGTTATAAATGACATGGACAGAAGGCGTCCTGTGACTTCTTACCAAGTTTGGTGACAGAAGTGATTGAAAGTGGAAAAGAACCCCTGCATTCGCTATCTGATCCAGCCACCTCCTGCTGGCTTCCCAGGTTTCCATCTCACTTTCCTTGCTGTTATCAAACATCTGGTTTAAGGCCGCCATGAGCTGCTCTGAGAAGGCGCAGACAGTGGCCACGAGGCTTTGACAGAAAACCATGTCTCTCCGAAGCTGTGTTTCACTATCTACAGTTAAAGAGAACACAAAGACAGCTTTCAGACATGTCGTGCACTGGAGAAAACCTATTCACAAAGCATTTACAGGCAGGGTCATTTGATCTTCCCCCAAAAAACTCATGCCAGGTAGAAAATGAGAATCTGAGCTTTATAAATCCTCATATATTTTAGCAAACACGTTCCTTTAAATGAACCATTAATTTCCATAAAACATACAAAGTATTAAAAGAATTTCACTTAATTGATATTTTGACTCTGAAATCAGTAAATTGTTTCATAAAATCTGAAGGAAATACATTTACTTATATTTTCTTCTGATGAAACACAAGTTACATTTGCTGAAGAGTTGGAGTCCAATACTTTAGTTTGTACTGACAAATTATAGTATTCTTTAAACAGCTGCTAAACATATCCAAATATTAATGTGAAATGTAAGTTCCTATATTGTTTTGACCAAGTAATGGATTTATACCTTTAACAAATTGACTTTTCTGTATGTTTTATTCTTCAATTGACTGGGTTTAGGAGTGAGCCACTTTGAAGGGATGTTTGGCCTATAAAAGCCGACTTGAATCAGAGCTTTTCTAAATTAAAAGAAGATAATATCCCTGATTTTCTTCGGTGGGTGGCTGGCTATATGCAAACCAAAAAAATCTACAAAAACATTAAGGTACACATTCTGCACACTGTAAAATCACACAGACTAAAAAATATCCTCTTCACAAAAATTTATGAAGTATTTTAAGGGCTTACAGATACATTCTGGAATGAAGAAGAGTTATCAATTATAGTGTATAACCTAGACAGAAATGTTATCTTTAGTCAGTTGACTTTCTCTTTCATTGACCAAAAGGTATAATATTAAGATGCTTATCAGGAATGTCAAACATCTGTTTTTAATAACCAAAAGCACACAATCACACGTGTGTGTGCATTTGCTTTATCATTAACATTTTTTCACTTGAAAATTTTATTAGAAAATAGATTTCAGTGTAAAATGGATTTTCAGTTGAAATATTTAATTTAGATTAAATTTTAACTTATTAGGTTGAACTATACAAAGTCACTGCTTTGGTGATTCCCAATGGTTGAATATGGCAATACCATACAGTTCAACTTACTAAATTAACCCATATATGGTAGATATTTTCTTTAAATAATTCTATACTGTATGTCCCCACCCCACTTGGTGGGCAAAGTGTTTTTCAGGGAACTACAAAATGTTAAAAAGGGACAACTGCAGAAGGGGTGACATTGTCAAGAAGCACTGTACTCATAATCTGACTCATGGAATTGCACCTCCTTTATACAAGTATTTAATAATAATGATAAAATGAAAAAGAAGACAATTCAGTCAGTTCAAATATGCAGCTAGAGTACTGAGGTTTAAGACAGAAACTAAAGTAAAAATGGCACCCTCTCACATTTTAAATTCATACTTTGCTTTGTTCTAAAATGAAACAAAAATCCAGTGAACTTTCAAAAATACTTTAGAAGCTCCAGCAAGAATACGCCCACTCATAGCTTGACAATAACCTAAGGAAAAATCAAATTTGTAAGAAATTGCTGATAACACATTCAAAAGTGGGATGCAAAGATATAACAAAGAAAGGTTCTGGCTCCAGAGTAAACTTGAAAGAGATCACAAAAGCTAATGGCTTGGCCACCAATGGAAATAATTTTTTTCCAAAATGCTTTTGAGAAGAAATTCTCAAATGCATCATTTTTTTAACTCTAAAAGAGTACTCAACTGTTTAATCAATCCTCGGTCACTAAATTCTTTATATATTGATGCCAAATATAGATTTCCATTCAACTTCATTATCAAATGATGGATGACAATTAACATTCAGTAGGTTGGTTAACTTGACTCATCCATTCAATTATAAGAAAATTTCCTTGTGTGCTAGGCTATACTTATAAATATATTTGGAATAAAACATTATACTGAATATTTCATAGATAGGCTCCTGCTCCTTTATTTTCCACTTACTTTTCCAATATGTATTTTTGAGCACCAAGTGCAAATGACTAATTTAGGCATTTTTTGATGATCAGAATAGATTTGGTGGCCTTTATGCAATTAACAGCTCTTCATCTGTAATTTGAATTTTGATCAAATATTTAATTTCCTTTAGGGTCACTTTCTATAGCTAACTGTTTTTTAGCTTTCACTCAATGTGGGCTACAAATGTTTAATACAAATAGCACTGTAAAATACATTGTTTTAAAATAAAATCTGTTTGAACAGTTAACTTTCTCACATGCAATTTCTCCTTGGGAAGGATGGGAGGAGGAGGGACTTAATTTAAAATAGTCAAGGTTGGGCTTTGAACTGGCAATCCTGCCTCTACCTCCAGAGTGTGCTGGGATTATACACATTACTCCATGCCTCACTTTGTTCTCTTGTTAATGATATATTAGATAGATGGATAGATAGATAGAAATGCTTTTTATCTGTAACAAAAATGATCATAGTCTTGTGTATTTTTATTTAATCTTCTGCAAGTATTTTTTTAATCTAGGTAAGGCTTTAGAGGAAGAGAGATCATACTCCCATTTATCTTTCTGAATGGTTCAAAATATTCAATTTCTTTATTTTTATTTTCTAGGATTTTAACTTTCTTCTTTTTTTGATCATGGGGCTTAAACTCAGGGTCTAGTTAGTGTTCCTGGGCGTTTTTGCTCAAGTCTATTACTCTACTACTTTGAGCCATGGCACCACTTCTGGTTTCCTGGTGGTTAACTGGAGATAAAGAGTCTCAGGGACATCCCTGCCTGGTCCTACTTTGAACTCAAGTCTCAGCCTCCAGAGTAGCTAGGATTACAAGTGTGAACCAGCACTTGGCAACTTTATTCTTTATATTTTTCTAAGTATTTTTTTAAAAAAATTAACCCTAAGTAGTTGTACTAAGAAGTTCCACTCAACATGCTGGTTTGTGAGTATAATGCATTTAGATCAATGTCACCCCTTAATCTTCCTCCATCTCTCCCAATTTCTATTGCAAGACTTCGAAGATCTTGAGCTACAATTGCTTCAAATAGTAAAAATAATGAAAATACTACCTGAATACTCAAGAAGAGCCAAGAGCATCCTACACTTCACCTCTGCAGAGAGAAAACACATAGTTAGTTACTTGTTCTTTTCCAGCTACATCACATGTTGTCTGGGTAGCAAAAGATTAGCAAAATCTTTTTATATTAAATAATAAAAGTTTCATTTGCTTGACAGATTACTCTTACCCATCCGCTTAGATAAATCCCATCCATTGCTTAAAACTCTGAAATGTCTTCCACTTCTGCATTGTGTGAGTAGGAGGAAAAACCACTCAAATCCTGCCAACTCTGGAGGTTATCCTCAGCTGTTTTAGCTTGTATTGTATTCTCTAAATTCCTATATAGTACAGTCTATGTTTGCTACTATTATTTAAACTTTTAGTTTTTTATTTCATTTAATTTTTGTCAACCATGGGGCTTGATCTCAGGGCCTGAGCTATATCCTTGAACTTTTTTTGCTCAAGGCTAGGGCTCTACCACTTTGAGCCACAGCTTCACTTTGAGCTTTTAGATGGTTTATTGGAGATGAATCTCATGGCCTTTCCTGCTGGAGATGGCTTCAAATCACCATCGTCAGATCTCAGCCTCTTGAGTAGCTAGGATTACAGGCATGAGCCACCAATGCCTGGCTTATTTAAACTTTTAAAGGTAAAGGTATGTATGTGTACATATATGAGGTATTAATAAGTGAACAACATACTCACTGCATTCAATAACTGATTTATCTTTCTACTTTCAACTAGTATTTCAGCAGGTAAAGCTTAAAACTTACAAAGTTCCTTCCAGGGTGTAATATTATGGGATGAAAAAGAGAATAAGAAATGTCCTATTCTAGAAAGGTCCACAATGATGACAAAGAGACAGCACTAACTGATTAGAAATGCAGGAAATACTTCAAAGAGCATAAATTTCATAACCCAGACTGCAAGAATAAAAGGATTTTAGAGGCAAGATAGTACATAGAAGTCAGGTTCAGAAAAATTATTGGATCAATTTTAGCACTATGGTATTAGAGAATTGCTAAATGACTGAGTTTTATCTACTTCAGTTGTAAATCATAATATCTACCTTATCTATTGCACAGGCGTATGTAGAAAAATAAAGTTCTTCATAAAAAGCTTAAAATTTGAACTCTCCATGAAGGGGGTTGGTATAGAAAAAGTGGGAAATAGCATTAGTAAATGAACATAGTAGAGAATAAATAGCAAATGCCTAACCATACAGCATAAGGAGATTTCATTACATCATTAAAAGATTGAAGCAGGGTGCCACTACCTCACATCTGTAATCCTAGCTGAGGATCTAAGGATCTCAGTTCAAAGTCAGCTTGGGCAGAAAAGTCCATGAGACTCTTATCCCCAATAAATTACCCAGAAAAAAACAGAAGTGGAGCTGTGGCTTAAGTGGTAGAGCATTAATCTTGAGCACAAAGAGGCTCAGGGACAGAGCCCAGGTGCCAAGTTCAAGCCCCAGGATTTGCAAAAGAAAAAAGAAAGTGAGACTGTGATTTAAGTACATATACAAAATTCTACTGAAAACAGCTTCTAACACCAGATGAATGTAGATTTCTCTTACAGAAAATCACCACACCATGTTCTAGAGCAGAGTATTGACACCATGAACATGATATTGTAAGAAAACAAAACTGGTAATAGTCTAGGTGAATCAGAAAGCTATCACCCCAAGGAAACATGTGAAAAGGAAGAAATGTTCATTAGAACAAACATAGAGGGGGAAAAAGAAAAAGAAAAAGTAGGTTGATGCATGACTTTGAAAAAATAAGACACAATTCTTTGAAGAGGAAAATAGTTGCAAACATGTTCACTAACAGACATATGAGATGATGACGGAAGCCTGCTCCAGTAGAAACATTTGGCTGGTAACAGAAGTCCATAACTTAGCTGAGAAATTAAGTGAGAGACAATGGCCATCTTCGTGATAACTCACAATCAGACCCTGTGGATCTGGTACTGTCTCTGTTCTCTCCTTCTCCTACTGTCTCTCCGTCTCCTATTTTTTTTTTTGCAAGCTACAAATGTATGTGTAAATAATGCTACAACTTTTGAAGACTTGTAACCAACCTTCCTTAATAAAGGCCACAGATTTGTGATATTTTTAGATCACATTTGGGATACATTTCATGGGATATTTTGAAATCAGAGACTCAGAGATATCAGAAATAAGGTTATTCCATCTATCTACATAAACCATGAAATACTAGCCTGGTGACATGATGTCAAGTTTCCAGCCAAGACTGGACTACGCACTAAGTCACTCACTCACTACATGAAGACAATTTGGGAAGTGGAACAAAAACTACTTGAAAGTGAATAGAATGTAATTGGGTTAAGGCCAGGAGGTTACCTGTGGGCACTTCCACATAACAAACAACTGATTTCAAGGACTCTAATGTGCTGTTTTCATATCATATAAAAGCAAGCCACACAGACTACCACGAAATGGCAGTTTGCTCTCTCCTTAGATTGTGCCCTGGATTGAAGCAGTGAGGGTAAGCTTATCATTTTAAATGACTCATTCAACATGATGACAATGAGAGTTCTCACTCTAAGAGGAAGCAGCATTTCGCTGAAACAGAATGAACAATGAAACTCTGCAAAGAGCCTCATCTAAACCAGCTACAGGGCTCCCATAATCAAAAGATTCATGATTCTATACCATCCAATCAATACGGGTATCTAGTTATCATTTCTGTGGCTGCTACTTGCAATTACTACACACAAATGCAATTCCCTTTCTTCACTAACCAGAAAAACTCAAAAGATGATGAAAACTACTACAGATTTACACCTTCTGGGAGTGTTAGGAAACTAAAAACTACCTTTTGAGAAAGCATGTGCTTTAATCAGAAAGTATATATTCTTCAATTACCTAAACTTTGCTGTCTTTAAAAAAATTATTTATCATTTTTTGCTATTCACTATTTGGGAAGTTTTTAATTCAGACTTTTCAGTGAATTCAATGTTACCAAGTGTCACAGGAAATCATGAAATTGAGTCATATAATAATAATACGGCCAAGAAATGCATCACAGAGTAGAATTGCTGTGATTTGTTTTGGGGAGAGTTCTCTAACTGCCCAAACTTCTTCTCTGATCTAAGTGGTGAAATCTGAGTGCATTTCTATGCAGAAGACTTTGGAATAACGGAATGTTTAATCTGTGTCTCATTTTGTAAGTGAGGAAATTAAGGAATAAAGGAGGTAAGTGCCCAGATAGACCCCATCATATATAAGGAACTGTACTTTGGCCGTAAAGTATGTAATTCTTGCTAATTTACCCAGAAAATTTTTGCAATTGGGGTTATGCTAGATTCCTGCTGGATACTCTTAGTCATAACTAAATGCAAACTGATGACTGAAAAATCAAGAGGAAAGCTCTGGTTATATATATTTCCCAACCTTAGCACTGTCAACATTTTGGGCCAAATGCTTCTTTGTTGTGACAGATGGCCCCTTGCATTGTAGAATACTTAGCAGCATCCCTGGTGCGTACTCTCTAGGTGCCAGCAATACACCCCCACTCAGACGAAAGTATCTCCAGACACCACCCACCACTAGCCTAATAACGGAGAAGACCACTGCTGAATTGGACAACTTTAAAATTGCAAGCATTGCTCATGTCATGTTTACTATCCTAATTATTTTAGAAACTCTCAGACTTTTCTACTTAGTAACTCCAACCTCAAACAACAGTCAATCAGACTCAGTGGCGCTGTCTCCGTGCTTTGCATCTCCAATTTACAGGTTGTACAGTGACAGGCTCTCACGTGAATAATGCCATGGAAGTTAAACACTATCAATGGAAATAAGCACTTCCAAAAGAAACCTATAAACTAAAAATGTGATCTAGGCAATTATTTTGTGATAGATTCACCAGTGATTTTTGTCTTCCTATAGAATTCATTATTTTTTATGAATCTTTTACGGTGTTTTGTTCTGAAACAGTTTCAAATTAAAAATCTAAACTCTGCATGTTCCACCTGTCTATGTATGAGACTTATTTTACTCATTCAGAATATTGTCCATGACAAACACTACAAAGCCTAGGCTCAGGCGGTAGTGTGATAAACCTTCCAAATCTCCTCACTCTTTTATTCATTTACTCCTTTTCTCTTCTCCATAATGAAACACTACACCAAGAAATGAGGCATTATGGGATTTCTCATTATTGATGTGCAATGCTCTTTTCATGCTGACCTTCCACAAATTTTCTGATGCTCTGAGCAAGAGCCCGGACACTACTAGGAAGATTCCAAGGATCTTGCTTGATGTGAAGCCTCAACCTTTTGGGACAGCTCAGCTTTGCTTCCATTTCCTGTTGAAATTCTAAATAAAGATAGACAATCATTCATAAGTCTCAAACAATTAATTTCCACACAGTTAAGCCCATAGGCTTCAGAAATGTTTAAGACTGTCATCTTAAAATAATATCATAAGGACAAAATTTGGATCTATTCAGAACAGAAAATTTCTTAAACATAAAGTCAAATTTTATTGTCATTTTTCTTACAAATGTTCCAACAAAGAGGCAAATTTAGACAAAAAAGTTGTCTCTTTTAAATCCTAAATAGGATATGAGAATATGATCTCCCATTCTGCTTGAGTGCCCATTTCACCAATTTAAATTCCCAGATCACCTCACCCCACCCCAAACATAACCAGGTAAGCATTAGGCTTGATTGCAGCAAAAGCAACTTAATACTTACCTTTGATTAGTACATCTTTGCTTAGCCTGGCTCCTACAGTTACCAAACATTTTAACTTTCAAATATACCTTCAAAGTGACATATAAAAAACTTTAATTTTAACATATTCATAAATGATCAAAACAGAAGAGGAGTATTAGGTGAATTATGAAACCACCATTTTTCTTCTACGTGCTTTTGTTTCATGACTCTTTTGTCTATTGCCTTTTTTTCCTAGTATCTTCTACTAGTTATTTTGCAAACATTACCTTGTAATCCTCGACCTGGAGTGAGATACTTGGTTTGCTCAAAGGCCCTCACCACAGCTTGTCCTTTCAGAAGGTTGGTAATTGAATCCACCTGCCAATAGCAGATTTCTAAGCATTACACTTTTTCCACAATGCATGAATATACATTTGGTAATACATTTGCTAATCTGAAATGTTTTGTTTTTAAAGAAATAATTGGCCTGACACTGGTGGCTCATGTCTATAATCCTAGCTGCCCAACAGTATGAGAACTGAGAATCATGGTCTGAAGCCAGCCCAAGCAGGTAAGATTGTGAGACTGATCTCCAATAAAGGAAGTGACACTATAGCTCTTGTGGTGGAGTACTAGCCTTGAGCAAAAAGAAGCTTAGTGACAGCACTCAGGCTCAGAGTTCAAGCCCTAAGAATGGCCAAAAAAAAAAAATAGAAAAATAATTGCTTTTGAAAGAAACCCTAGAATGTTTAAAAAAATCTATTTTTACATAAAATATTATAATCAACATATTTTCTCACCAAATAGCATTCCAAATGATTTCTTATTATCATATCACATATTAATACAAATACAAGTTTATTTTGTGAAAGCTTAAAACTTTATGAGCCTAGAAGTTATTGAAACCCTTCTCAAAGTAGTAAGACCTTCTACACTACAAATTTTAACAGTAGCTATAATCCTTTTGAAAATGTAAACTGAAATGGGTATCAAGATAATATTGTACTTTTGGAAATTCAGAATATGGTTGAGCAAGAAATTTCTTAAAGTATCCACAAAAGCTTCAAAAATCACCAAAAGGCTAATGCTTATGCATATAATGAACTTTCCAAGGACTATAAAAAACTTGATATTCCCCACCATCCTTTTAGTTAGTTAAGGAAGAAATCTCTATACCTCTCTGATATAAAAAAAAAAAAGTAGGGGACAAAGTGAGGCCTTTTCATTCTAGTACGAAACTTTAAAAAAATACATCTGAAGATATTCGACACTATAGTCTATAGAAAAGGTCCATAATTGTCCCATCATACCTGGCTGAAAAGATGCTCAAGGCAACTGTGTATCTTGTCCTGTTTATCATGAGAAATGCGGACACTAAGGGGAAGTTCATCACCTAGATGGAAAACACAAGCAAGAAATCCAAAATCTTCATCGCAAACTATTCTCACATTAAAGACAAACAATTCCAAACAAGTTTTTTTTCTTTTTTATGATTTTTTTAATTGTGAAAATATTGTACAGAGGAGTTACAATTACATGGGCAAGATAATGAGTATATTTCTTATCAAGCATTGTTGCTTCCTCCTTTGTTTCCCCTTCCTATCCCTTCCCATCTCCCCTCCCCCCCAACGCCCCCCACGGCCAAAGTTGTAAGGTTCATTTTTCAATATAATGTCTTGTACATCTCGTTACAATGGGTCCACCTGTATACCTATTTAAATGATTTGTATTCTCCCTTCCCCTCCACAAATTATATCAACATCAAATACAATGAGAGCAGGGGTTATATCGTGAGGGAGGGACATACATACAAAGCAACAAAGAAATCATCTTATAAATATGTTAGAAACAATCACATGAAAAAAACACATTTGAATACTTATCTTGGGGCTCATTTCACCTAACATAAACTTATCTGACCTTTTCTGCTTGTCTCAGACATATGCTAGTTATCGCAGGTAAGGGAAACCATGGGGCCTATATTTCTTTGGGCCTGGCTTACTTCACTTAATATAATTTTTTCAACTCTTTCCATTTCCTTACAAATGGGGCAGTGTCATTGACAGAGGCATAGAATTCCATTGTGTATATATACCACATTTTCTTGATACATTCATCTACTGAGGGGCATCTGGATTGGTTCCATATCTTAGCTATGGTAAATAATGCTACAATAAACATAGTTGTGCTGGTAGCTTTAGTATGGTCTTGTTTGTGATCATTCTTGTAAATGCCTAAAAGTGGGATTGCTGGGTCATAGGGAGTTCTATGTGGAATCTTTTGAGGAACCTCCATACTAC